GGCGCACCCACCCACCGGCCGCGGCCACCGCCTCGCGCGGCCCCCGGTGCTCTGGCCTCGGTCCTCGCCGCACCGCTCTCCCTCCGCCGACTCTCCTCTCCCTTCTCCTCCCTCCTCCCTGCCTGCCACCCGCCCCTCGCTTGTCCCTCTGCCTCCTCCGCAGCCCCGCCGCTGTTGGGTCGCCGGGCTCACAGCGATTGATTGATTGATGTTTAATTTCCTGCCAGGCGGGGCCCCCCTCCCCCAGCAACCTCCCCAGCCCTCCTCCCCGCCCCCCACTCTCCTCCTTCATTGCGGTGGACCAGTCTGGCTTGGGTTTAGATCTCCCCCCCCACTCCTCATCCCGAAATAACCCAGAGACTTCCCCTACCCCCACCCCAAATTATTATTTTGAAGGCGCTAGATCTGGGGACGGAAAGGGGGAGGGGGAGAAATCGGAAACCGAGGACAACCCAAAAGGACTCACTTTGCCTGATGACTCAACGCAACTAATAATCATCTCCCTCTCAGTGTCTCTCTCTCTGCGGCTTGTCAGTGAGTCCGGCTCCGGCTGTTGGCGGCGGCGGCCGAGAGGGGAGAGGCTGGAGGTGACAGCTTGGGCGGCCGCCGCGTTTTCTCCCGCGCGCGGTCCCGGGTCCCTGCGCCTTTTCGGCTCTCGGTGGCACCGGCCCTACTGCTCCGGCCGCACCTCCTTGCGAGCTAGCAGCCCTGCGAAGCGGCAGCCCCAGGTCGCCTCCCAGTTCTCAGCCCTTTCTCTCCAGAACGGGTCTCCTTCCCGAAGGTGTGAAAAGGCTTTTTTTCAGCCTTCTCTCTTCTCCCCTCCTCCGCCGTCCCCTCCCCCGCTCGCTCGGGTGCCCCTTTGGAGGAGCCCTCCTTTCCCTCTCCTCCTCCTCCCTCCACCCCCCCCCATCATCATCATCATAACAACCATCTCCGCACTAGAAGACACCCTGACCCAGGACCTTAAACGTTAGGACCTGGGAAAGAGAAAAGGGGAAGGAGTGAAGAGAAAGGAAGACTAGGAGAACACTGCAAGGCAAAGCACCAGAAAGTTTCCACCCTGGATTCTCTACTTTTGCTCCATGGACAGAGCCCCAGCCAGCCAAGTTACAGACAGACCGTGAGCAGTAAGTACGCAGGGCGAGGGCTCCCGCGCCACGCTCGGGAGTTCGGGGAAGCCCCGGGTCCGGCTGAGTGCCCTCCCGGCAGCTCTCGCCCTCCCGGACCTCGCAGCCGGGGGAATGCGGGCGGAATCTTCCCTGCAGCCTCCCGCTCCGTCTCTGCATCTCTCTCGCATCTTCTCCTCTCATCTCCCCTCTGCCACCCCCACCTTGTCTCCTTGAGCCGTGGCGACGCGGCGTCTCCCACGGCGAGAGCGCCCGCGAGGATTCCCAGCGCACTTTGTTGTGCCGGGTTCCTGCTTCCTGGGGATTTCAGTGACAATGTGAGTGCCGTGTCAGCGGGTGCTTTCCTCTCCTCCCCCGTCCCCCCAAAATCCAGGGGTGCCGAGATCCGCGCGTTCCGTGAGGAGCGCGCTGCCAGCCAGGCGACCCAGAGGAAAACTTTTTGGAAAGATTTTAAAATTGGGGTTGATGAAGGCTGCTCCTGCACCTAATAATTTAAATGCTTTTTTGCTTTTGTGTTTTGTGCTGAAGAGCTTTAAAAAATTCACTTACGATAGGATGAAGATAAGAACGTTCTGAAATAGTAGCCCCCGCCCTTGTGATGAAGGTTATTCTGGAGGTTATTGTGATGAATACTTCCAGGTGTTTTTGGATGCTTATAAATATGGAATTAGGGTTGATTTTGTGCAAAGTGTGTGTGTATCTCAGGACGTGCTCGGTGAAGGTAAAAAGCGGGGATTCGAGGGTCTTTTTGCCAGGCCTTCGGCTCCTGCTCCGCCATTCACGGAGCATTCATCATGTGGTGAATCCGTTTCTTAGGGTCTTGGGTACATCTCCTACCCGCTCCTCGAGTGGGTGAGATGTCTTTTTATGAAGTTCACTTCTTCCCCACCCCTGACTCCCAGACGGCGAGGCTGTCGCACCCAAGAACGGTTTATGCCAACCCCGTACCAATGAATGGGACACCTCTGGGCGCCCCTGGGCGCGGGCTGAGACATCGTCGCCGAGGGCTAGCTCCTGGGGAGCAGCGACTGGGCAGAGTCGCAGCACCCCAAGCTCTGGGCTTCCTTTGGGCCGCCCAGTGTAAGGTGGGGACCGGCTTCCCGGCTCGGGCCCCCCGGGCGGCGTGGGAGGAAGTTTGTGTGGCTTTGGTGCAGCGCTCTGCCACTGGCCTGAACGTCTATCACGTGTGTGAGCGGTTTTCCCTCTTTTTTTTCCCTCCCCCTTCCCTCCCCCCCGCCCCCTCCCTAGGTCCCTGCGCGTTTTATTGCGACCTGCCGGTGGGAACTTTGTCTCCGAGTCGGAGCAGCATGGAGCGGCGGAGCGAGAGCCCGTGTCTGCGGGACAGCCCCGACCGGCGGAGCGGCAGCCCCGACGTCAAGGGGCCTCCCCCGGTGAAGGTGGCCCGGCTGGAGCAGAACGGCAGCCCCATGGGAGCCCGCGGGAGGCCCAACGGCGCCGTGGCCAAGGCCGTGGGAGGTAACAGCCCCGAGCGGGAGGCGCGCGCAGCCCGCGGCCCGGTGATAATGGCCCGGGTGTCAGGGTTCAGGTTGATTAGGCGCTGTCGCGGTGTAGGATTACAGGAAGTGAATTCCAGGTTGCCAAATAATGCCCCGGTCGCCTCTCATCTGCAACTGGTAGCTTCATCTCGAGTTAAAACAAGAAAGTGGTTTACCCAGAGGGTGGCATTTTTTGGGCACTTTGCCACTGTGTGCTGAGGTGTTGGCAGGTTTATGTCACAGCCAGCTAACTGTTTCTAGATTTTCCTAGAGAGCTTTTTAGTGATTTAACTCTTATGCCTTGCCTCAGAGTGTCTGTTGTGGGGATGAAGTTTAGGTGCGTTGGCTTTGGTGGACTAGTCTTTAACGCTCAGGCTATAGGACAGGAGCCAGAGGGCCGGTGTTACTTTGTAGGTGGGACAGTGCTTCGAGACAATGAGTAACACGGGGAATATTTTCTGCCACATTGCAAGTGGCGAATAAAAAATCACCACGAATCTGTCTGGCCGTTAGAGGCTTAATGCTACCGTTTTCTATAGAGATTAAAGTCATATGCATTTGTAACTTTGTTATGAATTATAGCACAACAGGTAAAAATAGCACAGTAGCCTTGTTGGCTCCATGCAAACTGTTTCCCTTTCCAAGAATTTAATATTATTTAAAGAAAATCTTTTGTAGTTTTTACTACGTAAACAACTGCTTTCTTTTAAAGTGGTTAAGAAAAGCAATCTTGTAAAATAGATATGTGAGAAATTTAAACATTATTAAAATATTTTGAGGTTTATATGCCGTTTGCTAAGTTGTTTTTTTACATAGAAAATGCACAGTTCTACGTGGCAAACAGTTTTTTTGTGTTGGAGATAAATCACTACTTTAAATTTTTTTGTTTCTAAAGGTTTTTTTTCCTCTAATATTTTCAGCAGTAGCCTGTTTAATGTAATTCTTTATATTAGCCTGCCTAAAATGCTACAAAACCCTGGCAAAACTTAGTGGTAAGCTCCAACCCCATGTTCTGAATAGCCATAGTATGTATTTCGAAGCAAATACTTAACTCTAAATGTCCACTCCCTTTTAAGGAGTTAAAAACAGACATTTTATAAAATAATACATTTTTCTTTTTCCTTACTTTGCTGTTACTATTTCTTCATGGTGGACATTCAAGATGATTTGCCTCACTTCCTTATATTAATCACCTCCCTTGAGAAGCACTCATTCCTGCAATTTTTAAAGCTTTAAAAAAATTATTTGGCTATAGATTGTGGCTTATGTATCTTCCATTTTAGGGACTTGAAGATATGCTTTAATGAAGCAAAAGAACACTTGATAGTTCTGTGACCCACTCTTTAAAAGTGGTGTTTATTAATGTGTTGTCTTGAGACTGGAGCAGTAACTTAGGAATTTTCGTATTATTTACTATATACTTATAAGAAAGAAAACTATATAGTGAATATGATGGAGCCAAATGTGAGATGATGTAAGCGCTGATAATGTTTGATTGAAAAACTTTTGGAAATCCTTGGAGGGAATGTGTTCTCAAAGTGCCCTTATGCAGAAAGAAAAAACTTGGACTTGAAATTTCAGTTTCTTTCTGAAGACCTAATAAAATTCAGTGAATTGGAAGAAGTCTCTAAACATTTTAGAATGTAATTGTTAACAATTGTGCTTCTCTAAAACAAGTTTGTTTGTTTTTTCCTATATCATGTTGGACTGTGAAAGAAACTGCCTGATTTTGTTGACCCGGGATACCTTTAGTGTAAAATAGTGGTTGCTTTTCATATTTTCTGAGACTGTAATTCACATTTGACCACTTATTATAAATTTGATATAAACTAAAATTATTAGGTCTTGATGAGGAATAATAGATTTGTTTCAACAAGCTGCTTTAGTCACTTTTTCTGAGCTCTAACTTAGTAATATCAAAGTTATTAGCTGCTTCCCAAAGTGAATATAAAGATGACATTGTTTTGTCTCAATAAGTACCATTTATAATGCTTAATAGTAAAGTGGTGAAAATAGTTTACATATGGTGGATTTTTCAAGATTTTTTTTTAAAAAGAAAGATTTTACTCTATATAGCATAATAGATTGTTTGGAAAGATTTTAATTTAGAAAGCTTTAAAACATAACAACTTAGAACATAAAATTTCGATAGTACAAAGTTTTCTTATTGAATGTTAATGATTATTTTGTGGGTTTAAGTTTATATAGTTTCCAAATGTACATTGAGATATTAATAATTTCATTTCTTTGTAATTTTTAATCATATATATAGGTTGGAGAAAAGCAAAGCTTTTAAAAAATGCACGTTCTAGATTTAGAAAAATGTTTAAAATGTATTTCTGGTTAGCAGTTCTTTATAATTGAAAGACTTTTTTTTTTTGGAACATAGGGTAAATATAAAACATTATATTTCTATCAACCTACCTCCTTTTGTTTAAATTTTCTTTATGAAGCAATATAATAAGCATAGACAACTGCAGAAATATTTATAGCTCTGCGTCATTTATTACCATTCCCAGATATATTGCAGTCTTGTCAATGTTGTAAAGATGGCTATAATAATATATGTTTTAAAAGTAGAGCTCAAAATTTGGGAGGATATATTTGTTAATCTTTAGTGATTCTCTTTCTTAAAACCTCTCCCCTTAAAAATAGGGGAAATCATTAAGTTAATTAGTTGCCCCAAAAATGGCAGTTTATCTTACTACTTTTGATAAACAGTGAAGTGAATAAATGTTTTTGAATGCATTGGTTGCAATAGTAAATTCTGTTGCTCTTCTACTTTTTTAGGGAGAGAGCCAGTTTGCTGTGTTTTTTGATGAGAACTAAGTGTTTGTAAAAAAAAAAAAAAGAGACATTATTTCAGTGTCTGGATTTAACTAGTTGAGGCGGTAGATACACTATCACAATCTTCAAGGTTGCATTTTAATAGGGGACTTAAAAGTTAGTGTGTTGTTTACAATGTGGTTAGTTTTAGAAGACTATTAGAAAGTCGATCAGTTTTGCTTTGTCTTTCCAACACTTTCTAGGATGTTTTTGGTCTTATCTAAGCCGTGTGTTTTAAGGCATGTATGTAATAAAATATAAGTGCTCAGATATGTATGACAGTCGGCTTTTATAGAAGGTCCTCAGGAAAAAAAAAGGCTAATATCTCTTTAAAAAACATATGAAGGCTGGGAGAGAGTTTAGAGCAAGCAAGAGCACCGTGGTGTTGACAGCTTTATATCCCTGCTGGGTAACATTCACTTACTAGAATTGGCGTCCCCTCTCAGCTAGTAATTCACTCCATAAGGATTTTGAACAAGGATGATTAATGGTGGCGAAATTTATATTTGTGAAATTGTTGATTAAAACTTATAGATCTATTTGAAGATTTAGGAAAAAAAGATTAATAAAGATGACAAAAATAAGAATCAGATGATCCTTTTTATCACCATTAGCATAAGTACCTAAAATGTTCTGCTGTGTGTGATGCTTCAGCTGCACAACCTACAGCATAAAATGAAAGTGATGCCAGTCAAGTTTCCGGAGGCAGCAAGGCGTTCTGCTCTCCTCCTGGACTGCTGAAAGGTGCTGGCCAGTTGTGCTTTAATAGCAATAAATTATTGTGCTTCATTTATTGTTCACACAAGGATTTTCATTTTTTAGTGTTGGCTTAAAGAAGAACTTTCAGACAGCTTTATTTAAACTGAATGAACAGTGCTTGAGTATACCAGATGGTGTATTTGCTGATAGGAGGCATTAAACATCAGAAATCTTTTTGATATTTTTCATTTTCTTATGAATTTTGATGATTTTTTTGGTGTTAAATGTTCTAGAGTTTAGGGAAAAATGTTTAAACACTGTGAATATCTTTTAGAGATATTTGCTTTTTTTGGAAAAAAATTGCTTTTTTTGGAAAAATAATTAGTTTTTAAAATAACAGTTTAGTTTTGTTGAAGAATTATCTGTTGAAGTTATCTATATGTAGTTGACCCGAGGTAGACCTATTCTTTTTGCTACCAGGCAGCCTTTTCAAGAACATAACTGTCTTGTTGCAAGGGGAAAAAAATCATTATGCAATACACACTGATGTATTCAAATAGGGAAGCAAACGTGATCACGATTGTTGGGCAGGGCCTCATTTAGAGCTGAACATTGTCTACAACAACAGTTAGTTTAATTGTCTACATGTGGAACAGTTCCTTTTAGATTAAGAGTAAAAGAAATGCAGTTCAGGTCAGGTGTACTCACCATATTAGCAATGGTAGAGAGACATTTTACTTTCTGAAAGGAGTGCAGATATGAAAGCGTAGATATTGATGTATTGAAATGTATAAAATACTTAGCAATTTAGAAACTCATTGTCAACATGGGCAAAATGGAGAAAACTCATTAAATTTATTTTAGCCAAGGATGAACACCATTATGCTTGTAGGGAGGACTCCTGTTATTACTTCAAAAGAGAAAAGATTGTATTTCCCCCTTCCATTCCACTTTTTTTTTTAAGGGTTTAAGATCTTTTAAATAGAATAACCTTAGGCTTTGGGGTCATCCAACAATCTAGAATGTCCTCTGTAGTTTTGCTGAGGTAGAAAAATAGCCCTTCTCTAAAGTGTTTTTAGTCCTTGGCCTGTTATTAAAATAAAGATATACTTGGTTAAAAAAATATATGCAATGGAACATACACATTAAACAGAACATAGGGTATCCGCCCCTCAAAGTCCTGAGCATAATTTGATGTTTCGAGTAATTTTGGAAGCCTTATGTTCCATCAGCAGAAACCCACTGACCATTATATATTCGAGATCATCTGCAGTGAAACGTGTGTGTGTGTGTGTGTGTGTGTGTGTGTGTGTTGGAACTACGTGGATGTCCCTTAAGGCATCTGGTTTTTAACCCCTGCAGAAAATAAGCAACATCATCCTTTCCCAGGGGGTTGTGACGAGCAGAATCAGTCTACACATCTTAGATATCCTGTGTTAATTCTTGTCTCCTTTT